TAAATGATAACATTAAGTACGTAATATAATATATACATAGAAATAGAATGTGTTATAGAAGAAGCCACTATTAAAGTAGGGTGGGTTTAGCTTTTCAGCATAATATTATAGATATTATGCTTATTATTATTGATTTATAACTATCAAAACAATTATTAAAGTTAATAAACATTTAGAAATTGTATGGATATAGAAAAATTAACGGATAACGCTGGTTTAAATTATATTATGAATTATATAAAATGGTCAATAGCTAATAGGTATAGCATAATTTTTTTTCAATATAAATTAAATTGATTTCATCAGATATAGAATAATGTAGAGTAGGTAAAATTGTATTAAATATTACCTGGTGTGTGAAAATATTGTCGACAATTTTTATAACTAAATAACTTACAAGTTTTAACTAATTAATAACTATTCTTATAAATAAATAAATAGTTTGCTTTTTTCAATGCCTTTAATTACTTACTCTAATGAGTAATATTTTGTACAATTTGTTACCAGTAAAGTAAATAAGTTTGACAATTTTTTCTGATCAATCATGATTATATTAATACCTAAATGATCTAAATAACTGATTCAATAACCTTACGTTAGTTTTTGATTTTATGGACGTCATCTACTCCTTTATACGAACGTTGGTAAAGAGTACTCTTTTAAATTCGTTCGTCAATCTTCCACACTGTTATCAATATAATATAATGATATATAATATAAAACCTTAATTATATGCATTCAAAGTTCATACGCATACTGTTTATAATTCCTATTAGGTACAGTGACATTATTACAGGTGTAATTCTTGTGTGTGGGGTGATTTACAATTCGATTGATTAAACTATAAAACGTGGTTACCGCGGTTTAAATGCGCGTACGATCACTGCAAGATATTTTCAGAACAACAAAACGGGGACGAATAACGTAGATATTTATTTCAACAGTCAGTTGGTCGTATTTGTATTGTACATTTCCACGTAAAATGCAAAGTCCGTACTACAACAGGCCGGTGGTGGTGATGGATGTGGTAGAAGTGGTGGATGTGGTGGAAGTGTTGGAAGTGGTGGAAGTGGTGGGATGCGGAGGCAGTGTCGGTGGTGGCGAACGTTGAAGCAAAAAAGGCTGACTATAAAAGCGGATTCGATGGACAAATATTTGTGAATTATTCCGATCCGCAACAACAGCCGTGCGCAACAGCAACATCAGCGAACGTTAAACATTTATGTTCAAGCGCACCTCTTCCATCATTGTCAAAAGTATTGTGTATGACGTATAATAGTACCGCTCGCTCGCGGCTTTTACAAAAAGTTTCTCGTTTACCGCACCGCAGTCCGACCGACATCGTCACACCTCTCGTCTCTTCCATCCGTGCTCGCTTTACTACTCACATTATATATATATATATATATATATATATACTATTATTTTCGACCGGCGCACCGATTCCGCAAAAGGATAGATTCATAGCGGCGGCCGCGGCTGTCATCGGGAACAAACAAACCTACAGCTGCACCACTCCTCACCGCCGCCGTTTTCCCGTCCCATCGACGATGATTCGCCATCGCCGTTACACACTTTTACGATTTCCACACGCACTAATCGCTCTCCTCAGTACCGTTATATTATTATTATTACTATTATTATTGCTATTATTATAACGGTTGTTGGTAAAAATAGTTTCCCCTTTATTTCCTACCCCCGACACGCCGCCGCCGCCACACTCTGCATACACCCGCCGCCAAGCATCCGACCTCTTTCACAACTATTATACCTGTGGGAAATCAAAACTCGTTCCCCGCACCGGCCCGACCGCGGTAAGCTACTCGGTATACACGGGGTTTTAACGAATGGACGCTAACCGTTAGTTATATGAGGCACGCACGAGCTGCAGGGTAGATACCCAAACACGCTGTTACTGTTAAACTGTTTTCTAGTTCTAATAGTGCAGTTTTCGATTTTTTTTTCTTCGGAAAACTGTACGTCGAGTAACACTTTATTATCGCCGTCGTTCCGTTAGTAGGTAGGCATAATATTATTTTTAAATCTTAAATCAAAACTCGTGTTTTATAATTTACGTACAATGATAAATACGATAGTTACGATACTATATATAGTTTCTGGTTTTTTTTCTTGAATAATTGTTATATTACCCAATATGAGTTATACACCTATGTTTTATACCATTCTAAATATTATTAACACATTGGCGGACAATCATGAAAAAGCACTGCTGTTTGGTGATGCCAGGGGACACTTTTGGATTCATATGTAATACTGTAATAGTACTGTTATTATAGCAGTTCTCGAAAACCGATGAAAAATGGATACTTCTGCTACAGCAGTGGTTTTCTCAATGGTATCATAATATAAGAGACCAAGTCTACTGTTCATATACATCATAAAGTGACATTGTTCACTGACCAAATAAAGCAATATTTTAATTTAAAAAAATTTCTGATTATTTCTTTTATAAAATCGATTAATAAAATTGATTAATTTAGGCATGATTTTTATAATTTATTATTTGTTATCCTCACTGTCTATCAATGTGTTAAATATCTAATACAATAGGTACGATTTACGATAATAATACATGCATTCATATAATATTGCCTTTAACACAATATAAATACTCTTATAATATTATATACCCATAATATTACTTACTAAAATTGGACCTATTTAACTTTATGAGTATCATACATAATAACTCTTAAGATAACATTAAGTAAACACCAACCGATCTTATAGCATGCATAGTTACACTCGGTTTAACCAAGTTTTAAGGATTTTAAATTGACACTAACCAGAAATTGTCGAGAACCATTTAAAATTGAACATTGATGTCCGTGATGGTTCTAAAACTTTTCGAATATATAACGTAGACATTTTATGTAGAACGACTTGACTACTATGATTAGCAGTATTTTAATTTACACTGCGTACTTGTCTTACAATTAAAAAGTTATCGTCTCAATTACTTCTGAAAGAAATGGGGTCAACTTAAAGTCTTGAAATATTATAATATGTTATGGATACATGCATAGACTAAGAAGACTTTTACAGTGAAAATGTTTAAGACACTTAAAAATTAGAAAAGGTTATTATATTAACTTGATTTATTAATGTTCGAAAAGTTGAACAATAAATAAAATTATTATAATATAGTAGGTATATAAATTAAAACAAAACATGGTTATTTGTAACCGTTGAAATATATTATATAAAACGTCAATTAAGAATTAAAATTAATTTATATAAAGTGAAACTCATTTTAAGTGAGAACATAATATTATTAATTAGAGTTTTATGAGTATCGCAGTTAAACTGTCGTCTGTAATAGTTTGGCAATATTGTGCCAAAAATAATTCTTGTTCTTATTGCCATTCATTTTAGTGTCATGATAATTTTTGAAATTATTTAAACTTAAATTTGAGATATAATTTTTTGGGATATGTGTGATAGAAATTTGGGACATTTACCTACAGCAGTCGGTGAAACCTAGAATTTACCGGTAAATCCTAGGTTTTACTGCTATTCGTATTTTTACCTTAATATATATGGCATGTTCTTACTTATCTGAAGTTTTATATTCTACCAACCAAGTTTATATGTCCTATTACGTTAGAATTTATTTTAAAATTAATTATTATCAGTAGGTAGTTATTCAAAATGAAAAATATAAGGATACGAGATAATATCTTGAAATAGAAAATTTAAGATGTTTATATTTTAATAATGCTTTTGTTGGTTACCTACCTATTTCTGTTGTAAAGAAGTATTTTTATTTTTATTTTTTTTTTTTTTTATTGTTACAGCATCAACATCATGGTTAATAAGCTAATGCTTACAATTAGATTTTATAGTTACGTACATAGGGGTTTTTACAATGATTATTAAAGAAACAAATTTTTAGTTATTATATTTATAAAATATAATAAATATTATGTAATTTATAAAATATATATTTAAAAAATATTAACTGTGTGATAGGATGAAAAAATAAAATAAATTAAATCACTGAAAATAATAATAAAAATAATAACAAAAAGTTGCATGAAGAATATAATATAAAACCTATGTAAATAAAATATTCCAAAACGACAATGCATCAAAATAAAAATACATCATTATGCATATGGGGGTGCGTATATAACCATTGGTATTGTACTCGTGTTTCGTTGTTAAAATGTTTACTATCGTATACTATTTCGTTATTTTGTGTACCTATACATTTTGTCAATGCGTATAATACAACAATGCTGTAGTCGGTGTACGCGTTTGTATTTGTGAAACTAGCAGTTTCCACGGTGTGCATATCTTGCTAAAAAGCAGCAGCTATGTGTTTAACATATTTGTCAAAAACGTTCACGTGTGTCCATCTATATGTTATATTGTGCGATTTATAAATATACGTTTGGTTTTGCATTTTACTGCATACTTAAATATTTTATGGAATAATCACTATTATAAATGTCGTTTTTATTAGAGCCCGAGTAACAAAAAAAACTTTACTTCAGTCTACTATAACTTCAGCTACAGCTCGACATTGACGACGCCACTATTAATAAAATAGTGACTGAGTTTTAATTTTCCTAGGTATAAAACTCGTCACACCCGTAAATATACTTTTAACTTAAATTTTTGATAATATGTTAATTTCATAATTTGATTACGCGTAATTACAATTAAAATAATCGTACTCGCCGCGCCACCGTCGTGTTACATTGTAAAATTTAGGTCATTCGTATCAGACGCTCTGGTGCCATTAGAGCTCCCATTATAATTAGAAGGATGGGTAAGATATTAAGGACTTTCTTGATTGTGAAACTTTGGTAATTTGGAACCATATGACGTAGGTATTGCGTATCCGAAACACGGTGCCATTAAATCAGACCAATTTAGTGACGACGATGCAGGTGCAGGAAAAGGCAGCTGCGGAACACACAATTCGCAAATAGAACTATACCGTCGTAAGCAAGTAACGAAACGAAACTCACCTTTACCGTCACCTTGACCACAGTCCAAAAAGCACAGTATCAACAATGCAATGAACTTTTGATGGTGTCCATGAGATTGACAACCAGATGTCACCACCATCCTTGCACGATGTGTCTACTGTTCGCTGCCACCCTAAAACAATTGGTTTAAATCGAAATGAGAAACAAAATTCCACTCTACATTCATTATAGGTAGATACATAAAATGGTAAGTAAAAAATATACAAGGTATTAAAATGTTAGCTCATATATGTATATTAAATTGGTACATCTCTTGATATTTAATTATTATTGAATTAATAATATAATAACGGGCTTGTACCAGTTAAACATGATAACTATACAAACAGATAGTTAATTTTTTTTTAAACATTTTATTAATATCGAGATATGATTGATATTATAAAAATATGTGGGTTATAATATACAAAATGAATACACCAATAATTGTTTGAGTCAGAACTTCGTTTTATAATCCATCATAATATATTATTTTCATCTTGCCAGTGGTTTATCAACGTTTTTGAATATTTTACTCTCCGGACTGAAGCGAAAACATGATTTTTACAAAATCAATATCAAACCACATTTATGCGTAATTTATTCTTCCCATGAGGTATTATTTATTTATGTATTTTTTTGTGCTTTTTTCAAAAGTATGGACTGAAAGTTTTTACTATTTGCGATTTACAGATGTAACATTTTATATTATAAGCATTCTTTAGGAAGCTGCTTAAACTTTTTATTTTATAAAACAATTGTTACAATTATTTTGAAACGCAATACCTACTCAAATGTAATATAGTATAATAACTTTTTGTTTTACTTAATATGTGCGTGAATCATAAAGGTATTATAATATTTATTTTAAATGTTTATTGTTTATGAAAAATAATTGTTTGGAACCTAATTGAATATACATAAATTTGTTTACATGTAAATTGTTTATATAAAATCATTTTTATAAAAAAATGAATTTTTTATATTCACAACTGTTGAATTAATAACCATTTATGTAGAAACCTCATATAATATTATAATAACAACACTTTATTTACAAAAATTTGTTTCAAAATTGTTGTAAAATAAATGAAAAGTTCTGTCATAAAATAGTTATGTATTGTCTAATTCAAGAACTTTCCCATCGTTTTATGATTTAATATTAAATTAAATACTAAATGAGCCATATTCAGTGGCATGTCCAGTGGGTAGGGCTTGTAGTAGACCCTTGCCTATTCTGATTTTTAACCCTTATAAGATTCCTAAAATATGCATTTTAAATTTAAAACAAGAAATTGCATATTTAAATTTTTTATTGACACACCGAACACTGAAATACGAATGTAAAATATGAATACATTGGCTGTAGGCCTTGTATCGATTATATTTTGTGCCATGTACAATAATTTATACAAAAATAAAATTAATTGGCGATCCTCAAGCTCTTCTAGGAAAAGCATGTATCCGTGAACCCTCAACAACCATAATATTATATGAAAAAATATAAATTATTAGTTAATATTATGATTGACTATATATTTAAAAAAAACTCGGATAAGTGCAGAGGGGTGGAGTAGGTCAGCGGTGGTGGAAGTTTGTCCATCGTCCCTTACTCCCTTTGGTCTTTGGACAGGATAGTGTATTATTACAGTATTCGATTTGAATGCAATGATTGCATTCGATAAAAAAAACGATTCTGAGCGAATGAAAGACAATTTATAAATCATAAATAGGTATGTATTAATAAGTAAGCCATTAGTTGTATATAATATACCTAGTGGAAATCAGGTAATTTTTACATGTTACATAACTTAATCATACAAATTGATAATAGCTAAAATTTTAATTATTATTAGTCTGATTTTAATATTTAGAAAATTGGTAGGTACTTCCATAATATATGGTATAAACTATATAAGTAATCTATATTGTATGACAACAAAAAGTTATGGGAAATATTTATAGATGTTATATAGATAGCTATATTATACATATATTGTATTTACACTTAAAATCTTCGTATTAAAAACTTAATTTTTTTCTGTTAGAGAATATTATAATAAAAATATCGAGGTCTTTTATTAATTATGAGGCAATTTAAACTTTTATGTCACTATAAAAATATCGGTTTTTATAAAATGTTTTAATAATTGTTTTAAAATAAAAAGATTGATATTAGGTACATAAAATTGCAAAACATTCAATTATGTAATTAAAAATTCGTCAGATTTTCTATTAATGTTTTATCACTTATAGACATTTGAAACTTTAATAATATTGTCTTAAACTGTTAAAAATTATTTAAAAAATATTAGTATCATGATTCTATTAATTTATCATGATAACAATTAATGTAAATCGTGTGTATATTTTGTGAAAAACTGGAGTATAATATTAAAATGATTCAAAATTCAAATAGATATTTTTAAATAAAACTTTGTACGATTTTTGATAGGTATTTTCTAAATTTTATTGATCTCAAAATATTGGCTTGAAATAGTCTATTTTAAAAATTAGTTTTATGTATCGGTTTCTAATTCATAACATATGAAATTACTTGAACACCAAACTAAACATAACGTAAATCCAAAAATGTTGTTCATTAACTCGAAATCATAATATTGTGTACTAATAATCCTATACCATTAGGTAAGTATATAATAAATATTGTTAATGTTGGTAAGAAGAGTTTAACATTTATTATTTTTTGTAAAATAGTATTACTAACGATAGGTCTAACAATTCGAATATAATATATGTTTGATGTATCATTATGTTAAGCATCTTATCAGCTTTTAGTACCCAATGAAATTTAAATAATATGCAATTTTTTATACACACATACAATTTTCATATTAACCTTTTTCAGATTTTATTTACTTTAAAAGTTAAGTACGGTTTAAATATAAACGTTTGAATATTTACTTGCTTCGTCTATACATACTACCATTGTAATATTACTTAGATGAGCAACACTTCAACTCAAAACTAAATATTAACATTGTACAATTACTAATAAACTGAGAATATATTAAAAGTACAGAAATTGCATTGTACCTATCACAAAAAATATTTTAGTGACTATCACAAATATAAAATAATAATATTGATCACTGAAACCATCGTGTACAATATGAAACCTGTAAATATTAACAAATACAATATTTCTATTTTAATTTTAATTTTAAGAAAACCTTTGTTGAATTACGTCACTGAATAATGAGTTCTGAAATATATAATAAACTTTTAGAAAGAAATTAATTGATAAAAACTAATAAAATAAAAGTGCAGATGTCGTTTAATAACGAGGATATTTTTATATTATATATTATTAAACTGAGAAAATGTATAGGTATTCAGATTATATAGAGTTCCTGTTTTGAAAAAAAAAAAATATCAACATTTTGTTATCAAGCCTAAGACAGGTTAAAAGAATAGAATGTATATTTTTTATTGGTAACTTATTACTCTTGTTTTTTTGGTTTAATAACGTACATTAGACATTTTATGATCATTTTATACTATTGTCACACGAATCGTAAACATTCAAAAACATAAAGTATAAGTATTTCTACGACATTGTATCCTTTTTACTACAGATTTTTATTTTAATGTTATTATTCTTCTTTATGTTATTTGTAAATTATTATTTCCAAAGTTATATTACCTTGTAAAAAAAAAAAAATTAAATAAATAAATAAAACGAATAATATCATGTTCACATAATAATATAATACTAGTATTTAAGGTACAAACACATATTGTTTTCATTTTGAGTTTAATTTTATACATGATTTCAGTAAAGTATTAATAGTAGGTATGGTATAAACTACTTTGGAAACATTTTTATAAATGTGATGTATGGAGTACACTGTACACCAGATGCGAATAAAATATAGGTACTAGAAGAGTTCATCAACATAGATTATATTTAAACTTTTTTTTAAATTTATAGATTGTTTTATGTTCTATTTTTATATTATTTTTAAATAACTAAAACTAATACACAAAAATATAATTTGTCTTCAATTAAGTACGAATAATTAATATTGTGCTATTATCATTTATAGTGTTAAAGGTATCACGATGATTACTTGGCTGAACGTACAATGTTAATTATTATAATACAATCTGAATAGGTACATGAGTAAAAAATTATCAACCAACGGATCAGATTTAAATTTAAATATATAATATTATTATCTTAGGTAATGATTTGATTTTAAGTAACTGTAGTTAACTATAATATAGACGTACATATAATATTATATATTTGTCTTTATTGTATTGTATTAGCATAATAATCGGTGCTATTAAATATAATAAAAAAATAAAGATAATCCTAGGTTAATATTATGATTATTATTTATGCACAATGCACATTATACATATTATGCTGTACGTTATATTTATAGGAATCGAAAACTATGTTTCGGCTATAATTTACTTATTAGGTTTCCAAAGGGTCTGTTGGATATATATTCCCTAAAGACTCGGTGACTTGAATAGTGCTGTGTGGTTAATACACCGATATAACTTTAATATGATAATAACATGAAATTCACTTTTCGTAATTATACATGTGCACGAAAACAGTATGTACTAAGATGGAGATTAAACTCAGTTTTCAACAAATAATCCAACGTTTCGACGATGCCTTTTTGCCTCACATTGTTTCCATAAACAATGTAATGTTCTAGAACATTTTGATGAACTATTATATGACTAGTAGATATTATTATTACTATCAGATGTAAGATAAACCTAGTCTTGTAACATAATAATGCACTATGGAAATATCGAAATCACACTCAAATATAATATTACGATGTTTACACGTCTCTGTCGAAGAAAAGATTACACATGCACAGTTAGGTTAGGTTAGACAAAATCATAAGAAACAACGCTTTGTCGGGGAAATAAAGTTTAATGGTATGTCCAAAAGAGAGCACTGCAGAAGTCATGGAATAAAACATAGCCATGGAACAAACGCGAGTGTTTTATTTTATATTTCAAAATAATTTAAAGGATATAATATACGATTCTGCTGGTTTAAAGAAATGGTCTTTAAAAGGATAAATGGGAATAGGAATGTGACGG